TTGGTGGAGCACAAGATCAGGAGAATCAAGACCTCCTGCCAAACATCGGTGAAACCTTCTCTATAAAAATACAAAAACGTGCTGGCCATGGCAAAAGCCCGTTGCCGTAACCCTGCTGCTCAGGAGGCTGAAGCAGGAGAATTCACCCTGAACCGGGGGAGGTCAAGAGGCTGCAGGTGGGAGCCAAGATTGCACCACTGCCAACTCTAGGCCCCTTTTTTTTTTTTTTTTGAGACAGGGTATCACTTTGTTGCCCAGATTGAAGTATAGTGGCATGATCATGGCTCACTGCAGCCTCACCAGGCTCAGGTGATCCTCCTACCCTCAGCCTCTGAGTAGCTGGGACCACAGGCGTGCACCAACATGCTGAGCTAATTTTTGGGTTTTTTGAAGAGATGGGGTATCACCATGTTGCCCAGGCTGTCCTCTAACTCCTGGGCTCAAGCGATCCACCTGCCTTGGCCTCCCAGAGTGCTCAGATTACAGGCTAAGCCACTGCGCCTGGCTTTGGTTAGAATTATTAATATATAAAAGCATTGTTAAAGATTTGGATGTCTTAAAATATAAAAATCACCTTATTTTAAGGAAAATGCCATTTATAAAATGGAGTGCGATTCAACAGAGACAGTACTGCAATGGATATTAAGAAATGCAGTTCTTTCAGACAAATTTGAGTTTAAAAAGAAGAAATGCAGCTCTTTACAATTTGTTTCCATCATGAGTCACAGAATTACATTAATTAAATCAATTTTAGTTTGCTTCCATTTTTCTTTTTCATCAACTTAAGATATAATTCTTATATAAATGTGACAGAAAATGTCTCTTGCCTGATGAAAAAAATACATGTAAATTCAAGGCACTATTTCTATTTTCTTAAAGAAAATAATAACAATAAAGTTACCTTTCTCAATCTTTTGTGTTTCTAAAACTGCTTTCTTCCAACTACTCTCAAAAATGAAACAACTGCCAAAGGAACTTCTGGTGACTTTAGAAGTCTCACATTTGATTTCAGGAGATGGCACTGACATGCTGTCTTCTTTCAACAGTGCTGACGAGAGGGAGATGCTGCTGCAGAGACAGGACACAAAATACAAAGAAAACAAGGCACGTCCAAGGCAAGGCAAACAAATGTATCAGAAAGTTTCTCTTTCAAACTGTGAACATTTTAATGAATTCTTTCAAATTCCAGGTTACAGATATTGGGTAATATTTTAAAAAGTAAAGTCCAATAGCAAGTTATCACCTACAAGAAAACAGAATACTTGGATTTTCTCAAAAACATTATCATTATAAAATGCATTTGTGCCCGGAAAAAAAGAAAAAAAAAGACAAATTTAATGCTCCATGGAAAATAAACATGTTCTCTAGATAATCATCACCTTTATTCTAAACATGGACACAGAAGGAAAATCATGTACCCTGCTTACTTAATATATTAAACACACATTCAATTCAGTCGTATACATTACCTATCACAAGCAAGGCATGACTACATCCAAAGAGTACAACCATGAGCAACTCTGAGGAGTCCCATGGGAATGATGAGGAGTGACACCACCAGGACAGCTACCATTTATGAAATGCCTATTTTTCCAGGATCCTTGCTGGGCATTTTGCATCCATTTTTTCCAGTGATCACAACAAAGAATTAGAGATAGCCAGAGTCAGCTATGCTTATTCATTCATGCAAAATAAATTATTTACTGAGTGCTGATTTTATGCCAAGAATTACACGAAACCTTAGAGAAATATGCTAATCAAAACAGTCCCTGCCCTTGAGGAGCTTGGAATCTAGTAAAAGAAACACAGATAAGAAAATGGATAATACGGTTTTAGTAAGTGCTATGATGGGGGGCAAAAAATAAGGGTGCCATGGGAGCACACAGGAGGGATTCCCACCCCAGTCTTGGGCATTAGGGAAGCCTTTCTGGAGGAAGCCAACAAAGCAAGGATGTGGGAGAGCAGGAGGAAGAGATGGCTTCCAGCAGAGGAAGAGCATTGTGATGGTTAATATTGAGTGTCAACTTGATTGGATTGAAGGGTGCAAAGTATTTTTCTTGGGTGTGTCTGTGAGGGTGTTGTCAAAGGAGATAAACATTTAAGACAGTGGGCTGGGAGATGCAGATCCTCCCTTAATCTGGGTAGGCACCATCTAATCAGTTGCCAGCATAGTTAGAATAAAGCAGGCAGAACTTGGAAGGACTTGACCTGTTGAGTCTTCCGGCCTTCATCTTTCTCCCATGTTGGATGCTTCCTGCCCTCGAACATTAGACTCCAAGTTCTTCAGATTTTGGACTCTTTGACTTACACCCAGTGATTTGTCAGGGGTTCTCGGTACTGTCAGTTTCCCTACTTTTTGTCAGGCCTCTGAGCCCAAGCTAAGCCATCATATCCCCTGTGACCTACACTTATACATCCAGATGGCCAACTGAAGATCCATAAAAGAAGTGAAAATAGCCTTAGCTGATGATATTCCACCATTGTGATTCGTTTCTTCCCCACCCTAACTGATCAATGTACTTTATAATCTCCCCCACCCTTAAGAAGGTTCTTTGTAATTCTCCCCACCCTTGAAAATGTACTTTGTGAGGTCCACTCGCTACCTGCAAAACATTGCTCCTAACTCCACTGCCTATCCCAAAACCTGTAAGAGCTAATGATAATCCCACCACCCTTTGCTGACTCTCTTTTCGGACTAAGCCCGCTTACACCCAGGTGAAATAAACAGCCTTGTTACTCACACAAAGCCTGTTTGGTGGTCTCTTCAAATGGACGCGTGTGACATTTGGTGCCGAAGACTCGGGTCAGAGGGACTCCTTCGGGAGACCAGCCCCCTGTCCTCACCCTCACTCTGTGAAGAGATCCACCTATGACCTCAGGTCCTCAGACCAACCAGCCCAAGGAACATCTCACCAATTTCAAATCGAGTAAGCGGTCTTTTCACTCTCTTCTCCAGCCTCTCTCGCTACCCTTCTTCTCCCTGTCCTTCCAATTCCCATTCTTTTTCCTCTCTAGTAGAGATAAAGAAGACACATTTTATCTGTGGACCCAAAACTCCGGCGCCGGTCACGGACTCGGGAAGACAGTCTTCCCTTGGTGTTTAATCACTGCAGGGACGCCTGCCTGATCATTCACCCACATTCCATTGGTGTCTGATCACCGCAGGGACACCTGCCTTGGTCATTCACCCACATTCCCTTGGTGGTAAGTCAATTGTGGGGACTCCTGCTTTGGTTGCTCACCCACATTGCAGCTCAGGGCTGCTCCCCACCCACCTTCTTCGTGTCTCTACCCTTCTCTTTAAACTTGCCTCTTTCACTATGGGCAACCTTCCACCCTTCATTCTCCTCCTTCTACCTTAGCCTGTGTTCTCAAGAACTTAAAACCTCTTCAACTCTCACCTGACCTAAAATCTAAGCATCCTATTTTCTTCTGCAACACTGCTTGGCCCCAATACAAACACGACAATGGTTCTAAATGGCCAGAAAAACGACACTTTTGATTTCTCCATCCTACAAGACCTAGATAATTTTTGTCGAAAAGTGGGCAGATGGTCTGAGGTGCCTTACGTCCAGACATTTTTCACAGTTTGTTCCCTCCCTAGTCTCTGTTTCCAATGCAACTCGTCCCAAATCCTCCTTCTTTCCCTCCCGCCTGTCCCATCAGTCCCAACCCCAAGTGTTGCTGAGTCTCGTGAATCTTCCTTTTCTACTGAACCATCTGACCTCTCACCTCCTCCCCAGACTGCTCCTCCTCAGGTCACTCCCCGCTAGGCTGAATCAGGCTCCAACTCATCTTTAGCCTCTGCTCCCCCACCCTATTACCCTTCTATTACCTCCCCTCCCCACACCCGGTCCAGTTTACAGTTTTGTCCTGCGACTAGCTCTCCCCAACCTGCCCAACAATTTCCTCTTAGAGAGGTGGCTGGAGCTGAAGGTATAGTCAGGGTTCATGTGTCTTTTTCTCTATCAGACCTTTCCCAAATCAGCCAGCATTTAGGCTCTTTCTCATCAGATCCCACTAAATATATACAGGAATTCCGATATCTAATTCTGTCCTACAATTTAACCTGGAGTGATTTAAATGTCATCCTAACTTCTACCCTCTCCCCAGATGAACAGGAAAGAGTTTTTTCTCTAGCCCAATCTCATGCTGATAACCACCGGCTTCATGAGCCAGACCTCCAGGAAGGCATTAGAGCAGTTCCTGAGAAGATCCCCAATGGAACTATCAGGCCAATTCCCCAGGTATAGTTAGGCAAGATTACATGGTTTCCTGCCTAGTTGAAGGGCTTAAAAAGGCAGCTTACAAAGTTGTTAATTATGACAAACTTAAAGGAACTACCCAAGGTAAAGACGAAAACCCAGCCCAGTTCATGGCCCACTTAGCAGCAACCCTTAGACGCTTTACTGCCCTAGACCCAGAGGTGCCAGAAGGCTGTCTTATTCTTAATATGCATTCTATCACCCAGTCAGCTCCTGACATTAGAAAAAAGCTTCAAAAATTGGAATCCGGCCCTCACACCCAACAGGAATTAATCAACCTCGCCTTCAAGGTGCACAATAATAGAGAGGAGGTAGCCAGACAGCAACATATTTCTGAATTACAGCTACTTGCTTCTGCTGTAAGACAACCCACAACCATGTCTCCAGCATACAAAAACTTCAGAACATCCAAGCCACAGCTCCCAGGGGCTCCTTCAGAATATCCTCATGGACCTTTCTTCAAATGCCAAAAGCCTGGCCACTGGGTCTCAGGATGCCCACAGCCCAGGATTCCTCCTAAGCCATGCCCTGTCTGTGTGGGCCTCCACTGGAGGTCGGACTGTCCGATCCACATTGCCGCTGCTCCTAAAGCCCCTGGAGCTCAAACCCAATGTTCCTTGGCAGACTGCTTTCCAGATCTCCTCAGCTTAGCAGCTGAAGACTGATGCTGCCTGGTCGTCTCGGAAGCCCCCGGACCATCACTGATGCCAAGCTTCAGATAACTCTTACAGTGGAGGGTAAGTCCATCCCTATTTAATCGACATGGGGGTACCCACTCCACATTACCTTCTTTTCAAGGGCCTGTTTCCCTTGCCCCCATAACTATTGTGGGTATGGATGGCCAAGCTTCAAAACCCCTTAAAACTCCACCACTCTGGTGCCAACTTGGACAACATTATTTTATGCACTCCTTTTTAGTTATCCCCACCTGCCCAGTTCCCTTATTAGGCTGAGACATTTTAACCAAATTATCTGCTTCCCTGATTATTCCTGGACTACAGCCACATCTCATTACCACCCTTCTTCCCAACCCCAAGCCTCCTTCACGTCTTCCTCTCGTATCCCCCCACCTTAACCCGCAAGTATGGGACACCTCCACTGCCTCCCTGGCAATGGATCACACGCCCATTACTATCCCATTAAAACCTAATCACCCTTACCCCTCTCAATGCCAGTATTCCATCCCACAACAGACTTTAAGTGGATTAAAGCCTGTTATCACTCACCTGCTACAGCATGGGCTTCTAAAACCTATAAACTCTCCTTACAATTCTCCCATTTTACCTGTTCAAAAACCGGACAAGTCTTACAGGTTAGTTCAGGATCTGCACCTTATCAACCAAATTGTTTTGTCTATCCACCCTGTGGTGCCCAACCCATAAACTCTTTTGTCCTCAATACCTTCCTCCATAACTCACTATTCCGTTCTTGATCTTAAAGATGCTTTTTTCACTATTCCCCTACAACCCTCGTCCCACCCTCTCTTTGCTTTTACCTGGACTGACCCTGATACCCATCAATCCCAGCAGCTGACCTGGGCTATGCTGCCTCAAGGCTTCAGGGACAGCCCTCATTACTTCAGCCAAGCTCTTTCTCATGATTTACTTTCTTTCCACCCCTCCACTTCTCACCTTATTCAATATATTGATGACTTTCTACTTTGTAGCCCCTCCTTTGAATCTTCTCAACAAGACACTCTCCTGCTCCTTCAACGTTTATTCTCCAAGCGATATCGGGTATGCCCCTCCAAAGCTCAAATTTCTTCTCCATCTGTTACCTCCTTGGCATAATTCTTCATAAAAA